ATTTTGTGTATCCTGTATGAATTATTTTTCTTTTTTTACATTTGAGATTAATATTTCAATATAAAATTTAAAAAAATAAATTTTAGGTTGGTTATACTATAACAAGATTTTATTGGTCAATGCATAATCCAAATCGTCGTTGTGCATATATATGTTCAATAATTGATATTGATAATAAACCAATGTTTCGAATACGTGTGCAAGAAAATGAAAATAAACAAGTAGAAGAATTTCTTGAATCAAGTGCAAAATCTGTTTGGTATAAAATTATTCATGAAATTGATTTATTAAGACAAAAACATGGTCTTGTTAAAATGTTTCCTGGATTTGTTAAAGGTGAAGATTTATATGGATTAACGGTAAAATAAATTTTTGTGTTTAAAAACAAAATTTGATTATGATAATATTTTCGATAAAATAAATTAATTTAGGAACCACATATAATTCGTTTAATTGAATCATTACCCGGTGTTGAAATGTTACAAAATTATGCATTTAAATATGGTCGATTACAATTATTCGATATGCCATTAACAGTTAATCCAACAGGTTGTGCACGTAGTGAACCAAAATTACAAACTCATTTTCGACGGTATATAAATTTTAGAGAATTTTTCAATATAATTATTCTTGATTTTATATTTAGACATGTACAAACATTAACAAACTCACATTCAACTCGAAATGGTTTGTCACGAACTTTATATGGAATTGAAAGTAGATCATTAATAAAAACAATATAGATATATAAATTTCAAAGAAAATTTGATTTTGTTTTTTTTTACATAGCTCATCAAATTCCATATGGTAAACACTTTGTACATTCAAAATCGACACAATATAGAAAATTAAAAACCGAATGGCGCCAAATCGTATATCTTGCTAAATCACGAATTCAAGTAAGTAAATAATATTGAGAATGAATGAAAGTTAACTTTTCGAAATTTAAAATCAATTATAAATGTCTTCTGTCATTAGAGATATTATTTCAATTTTTGTTCAACGATTCTTCATGAGGTTAACAAAAAAAATGTATTAGTTTTTCATGAAAAGACGATTTTCAACGAATTCCTTTCGTTATCAGATGTAATGTAATCACTGTGCGATTACAATGTGAAACGAGAGTACAGATCGGCATGATCACTATTTTTTAGTTACACTCACGAAAATTCTATTTATGATATTAGTGTGATTATCCATACTAGTGGTATGCAAAAGCATATCAACTCATATCAGCAACGTTCTTGACTTGAAGAACAAACACAATATGAGAGTTAACTCTAAATACGAATTATATGAAACGACAAAAGAAGTGCTGTTAGAAATGAATTCCTGTAAGATTGAATAGAGTAAGTTCGTATCTAAATTTAAACGTGCATTTGACTATAGTCATAAGATTGTTTGAAAAATCCGTCACAGCAATTACACCGATTTCTAAGTACGAGAATCTTGTCGGTACTGTAAATCCGAGGATTCTGCAATATATATATTTTGGTTTGTGAATTCAAACGAACATCGTATATTCAATTGTATCTCATATTAATTCCACGGGGGACTTCAGTTTTGTGTCCATGTCTTATGTTTGTTCGTCCTACCGATAGTCATTGTCCGGTTTGAATCACAGAGATGACTATATCTGTCACGGCCTGTGGGGAGAGAAGGTTCCAAATTTCTATTCTTATACATCAATATTTATTGCAGATTGCGTTTTAAAAAAAACAAGAGTGAATGAGAACTTTTGAAAATATCACTGAAGTTTTGTTTTGTAAACCAAAATAGAATTTTATGAAAAAACATACAGCTTTATTAAAATACTGTTTAAACAATGATTCCTCGATATGTAACTCTTCTAGTTATAGTAAAAATTCTAGTCTAACAGAAAGATACTTTTTAGAATCTCAATCAAATAAAATCAATGATTGATTATCTTGTTTTGTTTTTTAACTAATTAAATTGTGTTGAATTTATTTATTGAATATTAAAAACAAATTGTAAAACAATTATTTATTATTTAGGGTTTAGGTTTATTTGCAGCACGTGATCTTGAAAAACATACGATGATTATTGAATATATAGGTGAATTAATTCGTAATGAAGTTGCTAATAAACGAGAAAAATTATATGAACAACAAAATCGTGGAATTTATATGTTTCGATTAGATGATGATTATGTAATTGATGCAACAATGAGTGGTTGTTTAGCTCGTTATATAAATCATTCATGCGAGGTAAAACAAAAAAATATTTGAATATTTATTAGATTTGTTTTTGTTTATTAAAAATATTATTTTTGAAATAGCCAAATGCAATAACTGAAGTCGTACCAATTGAAAAAGATAATAAAATAATAATAATAACAAATCGACGTATTCTTAAAGGTGAAGAAATTATGTATGATTATAAATTTAATTTTGAAGACGATTCTAAAATTCCATGTTTATGTGGTGCAGTTAATTGTCGAAAATGGATGAATTAGAAAAAGAAAAACATTTTTCTTCAGTAATGAACATTTATTATTTTAAATTTAATTTTAATATGTTCATTCTCTTGTTATTATTACAATAATTAACTCATCCGTCTGATAGATAATATATATTGATTCAGTACTATTCATTCGTGTGAAAAATATTTTTGAAGTAAAAGAAAGAAAGAAAAATAATAATTACTTTATGTAAGATTAATCGAACAATCAAAATTAAAAATTAATCCATTTGTTGATTACTGCACATGATATGTATTGTATTTCTGTTTTTCTGCTTTCTTGATTTTCTTTTTTTTTGTACAAATATATATATATATATTTTTTTGGTAAAGAATATAAGACAGATTATACCGCGATTGAGCGAAATGAAACGATGAAAGAACAAAAAAAGGAATATTTGTTTTGTTAATTTTCTGAAATGACAAAGACAAGTATGAAAATTCAGATGTGGATTTTCAAAGAATGTGAATAAAACAGCGCATTGATTTATTGAAACAAATGTTGATCAAATCTAGAATCGTGAATGAGTTAAATTAATTCACGAGGTAAGTATTCCAGCTGCTGCAGGACTTTCAACTTCATCTTTTGGCTTTGGATAGTTCTCAGACGAGACTAAGAAAAATCTTAAAGTGCTTTCCATTTGCGAGATATGGTTTATGTTATGATGACATCAATTGCATTTGTTTTTTTGATTTTGTCAAATTATCATTCATATACTATCCTAATAACTTGAGACTAAGCATATATAAAACGAAAAAATCTTTGTATTATTCATCTTTTAAATCTTTAATTCGACTGAATTATAATATTTCAGAGTTGTAATAGTGAAGAACCTAATTCTTAGCAGTTTCTTTTAATGCATCAAATTAATGAGAATTATAATTAATGTGGAAATTACGAATAATGTAACACCTAAAACTATTAACAGCAGATCAGACAAAGGAGATCCACATCTCTATTCATTATATAGAAACGAACCAAACGAGAAGTAATTTTTGGAAATATTGAAAACTATCAAAAGGTTTCTCTAGGATATTCATTTGTTATACTGTCTATATTAAATAAGTTTGAAAATAAAAAGTGTAGCCTTATAGAAATAGACACCTTATATTAGTTTAATAAGACTATTTCGATTTCATATTTTATTTAATATCAAAATAATATTATTAGGATAATATATGAATGGTAACTTGATAACAATTAGAAAAAGAATACCTTTTTTCTCATAGCATTAACCATATTTCTGAAACAACTAATTATAAGCACATATGCTTCGAGGATTTCCTAGCGTCAACATAATGACACTATGTTGCCACTAACGTTTTAGTAAATTGTCCTTTCTTCATTGATCTTTGTCCACTTTCATGTAGTCTGTAATCATCATTCCTTATATATATTTTTTTTCCTACTTTGTTGATTCGATGTATATGTGGGTGTGTTAGTGTTATTACTATTATCTTTGCTTCTGATATATATATACCGATGCTACGTCTTCACATTATGAATAGTCAAGTTTTCAATAGAAAGTTTATTTTACATGAGTTCGGTAGGCCTATAGAAGCTAATGGCGTAATCAAGGCTGAGCTAGACCGAGCACTGCCCTACCACTGATCGTTTTTGCCCTGTTACTAGAAGTAAGAAAAGCAGAAAAATTACCATCATTAATACTATATTTCATGGATTTCTCTCAAGATCGTAGGATACTGCGCTACCACCAATGATTTTCTGTTTATGCCACTAATATCGACCAGAAGTTGATAACAAAATGAGATTCTCACAAGGTTGTTTTTTAGTTTCACTGTAGTTTAATTATAGTCGAAATATGAAGTTAAAAGCCTGGAATCACTCGAGATATTTTTCCTCGTCATTTTGAGGCCAGTATTGAACGAAACCATGTTTAGAAAAGAACTGAAAGAAACACCATTATTTTTTCATTCAATAATAAAGTAATATTATTTTAGTACAAAGGATGTCGGCGTTAGCAAAAACAGTGGCTATACCAATACCACGCCCACCTTTTCTGCATTTTCTGCATTTTCTACTTCAAAACGCTTCCACAGACAATATTGATTTTAAAGTTGACAAGGAGAATGATTTTAAAAAAACCAAGAAAGAAGACTGTTTTGTAGAGAAATAAATTTTCTATCGAATGACGTTGTAAACAAATTTTAAAGTGCTTCAATGAAGGAAATAAAAATGCGTCAAATTTCATGATATTTGACTAAAAAAAGGAGCATACAATACAGAATTGCTTTGTTATTGTCATCATTTTATTTTATTATTCGATTTTAAAATGAATGACAACTGATAAAAAAAATTATTCTTTGTAATTATCATAGCATGATAAGCTCCATTTTTAAGTGCACAGCAGTCTTTTATCATGTCTTTTTATGTTTTTCCGCTCTATAAATCACATTATGTGTGTATTTATTTTTTCCACTGAAGTTGTAGAGTATTTTCATTATATTTTGCACTTTTATATTTCAATGCATTACAACAAGTAATACTATCATTTATCATGATTGCCATTATTTTAAATCTGTCTGGATTTGTTTTATCACTATTTACAAGTATATTTGCAATTATTTTATGTCTATTTATTCTTGTACAACGACGATATCGTCAAAATCTCGAATTTTTTATTTATGCCACAACATTTTTTGCTGTTTCTCTATTTTCATTATTGTTATTTTTATTGAATGTAAGATCATTAAGACTTGATTATAGTATTGGATATGATGGTGATTCAATAATGTGTCGATTACATGGATATTTTTTATGTGTTACTGCTTCAGCAACTTTTAATGGTTATTGTCTTCAAGCTGCTTCAAGATTAATTCATATTGTGTATCGTCAACATGTTTGGCTTCGAACATTTAAAGTTCATTTATTGGCTGTTATCTTCAATTGGCTCTTAGCTTGTTTTCTCATGTGTCCATATCTTATCTTCGAAGATTTGCTTATCTATATTCCGAGTGAAAATTATTGTATAATACCTTTTACAAATCTTCCAGGCAAGATTTACATAGTTCTATCAGCATTTCTTATTCAATTCGGATTTATTAGTCTAGTTTATTTTCGACTAGTTGTTTTTCTTCATCATTCAGTTGTACGTAATGCTAATCGAGAATTTGCAGTAGTCAAGAGTATATTTTATACTTTTCTAATTATGGGTACTATGGGTATACTAAATGGTATCGTTTGGGTAGTATATTTGTTTACAAATTATCTTTATCCAATGTCTTATCGTTTGCAACTATTGTCATACTCTATAAGTGCTCTTATAATAACTGTAGCAATAATTGTTCTCAATCCTCGTATACGTTGTTTAGTATTTGTTCGAAAACGAAGTATTATACCTCTATGTCAACTGGCAGCCATACCAATACGAGCATGATCATATATTACCATAGAATAAAACTAGATTATATCAGTTTGTTATGCATACATGTACAAAATATTTTACTTCTATTATTTGTTTATGTTTAATTGTTTTTGTAGTAAAATTAAAAAATATATCAAACTTTCTATGTGATATTATATCATCTTCTACAGGGTGTCTGAAAAGTCAACTACCAAAAAGATAACTATATATTTCCACTGTTGTTAAACCAAATCTAATGATTTTTTTGTGTTAATAAAGAAGATTGTCAAGTTTTTATTTATAAAGTTAACGTTCATGGATACTCCGGAAAACTATAACTTTCAGATCCAATACATAAAAATTTACTTCTTTCGTTATTGTGACCTTTTTGTCATCTAGATGTCATTCTCTTGCTTTATATATATCTGTGTGACACTTTTTGAAAAATTAGAAATATTAGTTTCAAGTTTAGTGACTATGGAAGAAACTCTAAAATCGTGCCAGTTTTATCTGTTCATTTTTTATCAAAATTTTTCAATGAGCTAAAAAAGAATTGTTTTCAAAAAAACGCACTAATCATTTCAGATTTTTCAAACGTGACATGTAAATATTTACAAAGTAAGAAAATGATATCAGCATAGCGAAAATTCGAAAATAACGAAAAACAGCATAGACCCATTTAAGGCTAAGATATAGAATTCACATTTGTTCTTTAGGCTTATTATACTATTACAAAATACATGAAGTGAAAATCTCTAAAAATAATATAGTAGTTTTCTAAGGATAATCAATTGTGAGGAAAACCACCCGTCGTATTTATTTCCGCATATTGAGCGGCAAGCTATTCTTTTTTTTTTACTGACACTCTATTTTTTATGTTTGCCTTGTTACTATTCATTATTGTATTCCGTTTTTCTTAATTCAACATTATTTTTATTATTAGTGCAGCCATTGATTTAACTAGTAAACAAACTTGCTGTACTTATTCATTATATCTACAACAAGTCTCTGCGTACTATTATATATCTCGATAAGCTCAAAAACACTGATATTGACTATTCCTCAAAGTTATAGTTTGATTAGTTCATACATTTTATATTGCTCATATGACGACTGTGACAAATTAATATATCACTATCCATCACCATAGCCATCGTAAAAATAAATTTTTGTCTATGCAAAAATCGAAAACTGTACTATTTAGAATATTCACAAACGTATTCCAACCATTTAGATTTCGAGAAAAGCTTTTGAATGTTCTAGGATTTTCTAGAACAGTTCAAGTCATGTCGTTAAAGTTGTGCAGTACCTTTTTTCCGCTGCTAAGATGCTCTGAGGGAGAAGTCTGACGCTTGTTGTCCTCAATTTCTATGAGAACATGTCGAGTAACCTTTGATCCCGATTGCTAAGGTGTATAGGGAGGAGAGAATGATAGAAACTCGACTTAAAACTTACAGTCTCAATATTTTTCTTCAAACAGCATAATATGAGTTGAGTGTGGATGTGGGTGTCGATCTGATTTTTACCCACACCCTCAATTCTGTTATGATCACAACATGTCTCAAACATTTCAAAAAAAAGTATTCGAACTTTCTCACTGAATTCATTATAATATATGAAATAAATAAACCACACCGAAATTTCGAAAAAATCAAAATATCAGTTATTGTTGTGGTTATACACAGCCACATCTCACACTTGGCGAGATTCTTTGCCATATTGAAATGTATTATGGTAGTTTCACTTGATGTTTCTTATTCTTGCATAAAACTTATCAATTCTAAACACACTCATACCGAAAAAGAAGTTAGAAGAAATATAAATAACACTAAGTACAAGTTAGAAATCGGAAATCAATGAAAACACTCAAGCTGGCAGTTGCAGTATTAACAAATCTATAAGAAAATTTTTAGATTGTTAGCACATTCATTGGCGACGATAAAATCCAGCTTTCTGTCATTGTTCAAGTCAACAACGAAAACCGAGAACAGAAGAGATTCATGACTGATCCAAAAATCCTTTCCATCTGCGAAGGAGCCATTACCATATTCAACCAGCACACCCACGTTGTTCCTGCCATAATTGACGACAATCATGTCTAACAAAGTATCGTTGTTGAAATCACCAACAGCTGCAGACCATGGAGAGGAATCAGTTGAATATGCCATTTGATTTGCGAAAGAACCATTGGCATATTTCAGAAAAATACCGACGCTGTTAGTGTCTGAATTCTCAACTGCAATATCTATTTGACCGTCATTATTAAAATTCCCATTGGCGAACGACCTACACTGAAAAAAAAAATGGTACCGTACGAAACCTTTATGGTTTGGTGGTATTTTATTGAACTTTTAGAGTTACCGTACGCATCTGCGAAACCTCTTGTAGGTTTAGTAGCAGAAAAGATTTGGTGTGATACTGTTATAAGGTTCTGAAAAAAAAGAGGTTTTGTATCATACTTCTGTGAAGGTAGAAATGAAAAAAGGTTTCGTATGAAAATTTTTCAGGTTTTGTATTATACCTTACTATAGTTGAAATGGAAAACGGTTTCATGTGAAACTCTTTCATATTTCACAGAACATCTCATTGCAGTAATGCCAGCAACCCATTATACATAAGTGAATTCACTTAAATGGCGCATATGATTGTGCAGAATGGAAACCAATGACAGCCTTGGGGGATTCTCGATTATTGTGGACCAGTGTCTAACAAAATTAATAAAAAATTTTATGATCTTCATAAGTGTTTTAGTGCATTCAGATATCATTATCTTGTTCATTAAAATAACAGTGTTAATGAGGAAGCCTGATATCGTTCAAAAGTTATTTTGGTCGCTACTATCTTTCTTGTGGGTTGTCTTTCTACCAGGAAATAATTACATCTAAATTGCTTTTTGTTCAGATAATTTGTTAGTTTTAGTTTTCACAATTCATCTGGAAGATTATTTTAAATATGATTACATGTACAATATTTTAGTTGCAATCGAACAAACCACGAAAATTATAATAGAAACTTGTATGAATACGATTTTCTTTTGAATTGTATTTCATTGCTTTTTATTTAGAAGTGATTTAGCTTCTACAGCATTTTTTCGTGTCATTAAGTAGTTAAAATTTTATTATTTTTATTCACATCATGCTTTTTTAATACAATGGATCCTCGTAATTCTAATTTTTCCCAAGTAACCCAATGGTAATCTACTTTGAATAAAAACCACCAAGTTCTTGATATTTTCACTAGTAAGTAATATCGATATGTCGCCACAAGATTATTATTTTTGCTTTCTATGCGTTCAAGCTGAACCATTTCCCACATTTCGTAAATTATTTCAGCTTTTACAGTATGTTCATAATGGCTAGCCTAATTTTAAAATTCAATGCGAGCTTGGCCCTCTAAGTACAGGGTGGGTAAAAATGTCTTTCCAGGGGATAACGCTGTAATTTTAAATACAGTCAATAACAAATTTTATACCAAATGGAAGTGCGTCAAAAATGGGATTTACTAATATTAAATGGTAAAGGTTCTACAAAACTTTTTATATCAAACATAATAAATCTCTAGAAACAGGATGCATAAAAATAGTTTTCTACGGGGTAATGCTGTGATTTTAAATAGGGTGAATGACAAATTTTATATCAAATGAAAGGACATCAAAAATGGGATTTGTCAGTATTAAATAGTAAGGGTTCTGCCAACCTTTTTATAACAAACATAACGAATTTCTAGAAATTTCCGCAGCATTACTTCGTAGAAAACCATCAATCTGAATCAAATTTAGTTTTTAAACTGTCTCATGAAAGAACTTTTTTCACACTAAAATAGCGAAAATTTCTAGAAATTTGTTATATTTGATATAAAAAGATTGATAAAACCCTTACTATTTTATATTAACAAATCCTATTTTTGATGCCCTTTCATCTGATATAAAATTTGTCATTGATCCTATTTAAAATCACAGCATTACCCCGTAGAAAACTATTTTTATGCACCCTATTTCTAGAGATTTATTATGTTTGATATAAAAAGTTTTGTAGAACCTTTACCATTTAATATTAGTAAATCCCATTTTTGACGCACTTTCATTTGGTATAAAATTTATTATTGACTCTATTTAAAATCACAGCGTTATCCTCCTGGAAAAACATTTTTATCCACCCTATACATATCGAATGGATTTCTTTTATATGCTGCTGATCGATAATAGAGTGTCGAAACAGCAGTGATCGGAAATTGCATCAAGGATGAACAATCAAGTTGTTGAATAGAATCTTTTAAGAGAAAAATACAAGTAAGAGCAACACGATAATCTTTGACGATAAAATATTTTAAGAATTTTCAATTTATATGAAATAGATATGTGTGGATGTTTCTTGGTGGATTTTCTCTCTACCTAGTCCACCCCGATACGCAAACCAACATGGCACCCACCTACACCCAATTTAACATAAAAGTTTATTAAGAAAGTGAGCACAAAAAATATTCTATCAGTTAATTGAATTACGTTGCAATGACACAGAACAACAAGTCATAACCGATTGAATCCAAATTTGTGAAATTTTCCATCAACAATGAAGTTTTAAAAAATGACTTATAACAATCATTGTATTTTCACGCTTCCTAAACATTATCAAACTAAAAGATTCTTCATCATTGTGCCTATTCATCTTTTGCGTTGTCAAAGAATTAGTTCAAAAAAAAAATGAAACGAAAATGTTTAATGTCCTTAGATCGTATTTCGTCCTCTCTTCGAGCCACATTTATTTGTTTGCAATATTGACTTACTGGTAAAACAATGAAAAGATAACAAATTTATATTATAGTAAGCAGTGAAAAGATAAGGACGCAAACCAAGGAACCATTGTTTTCGTGTTGATATCATAAGATAATTTAAATCAACCTTCGGATTTTTTTTTCCAAAACAAAAATCTTTACAAATATATCCACACTTGGTTTTCTTGTGTAATAGTGGTATTCGCATCATCAGAATAAAGTTCCATTCGAATTCATATGGCCTACAAATCATCAGTTCTAAGTAATGACAACAAGCAATCTGTTGGTACAAACGATAATGAAAATAAAGAAGATATAACACTTATTTGGTTTGATCCAAATATCAGACCACGTGAAGATACTGAACAAACAAAACAACAACTTCGTCTGATTAATAATTTTGTTATTTTTTCTACTGATCTTGAACAATGTATTCAATTAATTGAATCAATTGATAAAGAAAAAATCTTTTTAATAACATCAGGATCAAAAGCAACACAAATTTTACCTCGAATTTCTTCTTGCCATCAAATTGATTCAATTTTTATCTTTTCAACGAAAAAAAATCGATATGAATATTTATTAAATGAATATTCAAAAATAATTGCAATTTATTCTAATCTTCATGATTTATATGAATCAATAAAAGAACAAATCGATTTTGTTAATGAACAAATTGAAAAATTTTGTTTTTTTGATCAACATCAAAGATTAATTCAAGATTTATCAAAAGAATCAGCAGAATTTTTATGGTTTCAATTATTTAATTATATTATTACTCGTCTTCCACGAAATCAACAAGCAAAACAACAAATAATTGAATCATGTAAAGACTATTATTATGGAAATACAAAAGAAATTGAATTAATTAATGAATTTGAACAATATTATCAACCAGAAGATGCAATTCGATGGTATTCAAAACAATCATTTGTTTATAAATTAATTAATAAAGCATTAAAAACTAAAGATATTGATTTCTTATATCAATTTCGATTTTTCATTGGTGATCTTTCTCAAAATCTTCAACGTCAACATAAAAAAATTTTATTATCAAAAGAAAATATTTTAAATGTCTATCGAGGAGTTAAACTTGACAAACAAGAATTTAATAAACTAAAAGAAAATCAAGGAAAACTTATTTCAATAAATGGATATTTTTCCACTAGTCGACGAAAATCACAAGAACTCAGTTGTGCAAAGAAACCAACAAAAAGAATTAATGTCATTTCTGTTCTTTTTCATATTCAATGTGATATTAAATTAATTGATAAAAATATTATTTTTGGTGATATTGCCCAATTTAATGAAGATTCAAATGAACAAAAAGTTTTATTTGATTTAAATGCCTGTTTTCAAATTGAATCTATTCAAGAACAAGAATCATTACAAATAATTAAAATGAATCTTTCAAATGAAGGACAAAAAATTACGAAAGATTTTATTGAATTAATAAAAGAAGACACAGAAGAATTAAGTGTTTCAATTATTTTTGGAAGATTATTACTCAATTTAGATCAATATGACAAAGCACTTAAATATTTTCAACAATTATTAAATGATTCAAATGATGAAGATCAAGCTTGGATTGAATTTAATATTGGTCGAGCTTTTGACTTTAAAGGTGAGTGGAGTGATGCTCGAAAATATTATGATCGTGCATATGAGCGAATGATGAATAATAAACCAACACGACTCAAAGATTCTACTCATGCTCTCAACAACATTGGTACTATTCTCTCTGATCGAAGAAAGTACAGTAGAGCTCTCAACTATTATCAACGAGCACTGGAAATTCAAGAGAAACTTTATCCATCTGGTCATCTTGTTAGTGCTACAAGCCTCAACAACATTGGTGTTATTCTTTATCGACAAGAAAAGTACGATAAAGCTCTCGATTATTATAAACGAGCATTGAAAATTCAAGAAAAATTATATCCATCTGGTCATGTCTACATTGCTCATAGCCTCAACAACATGGGTGTTGTTCTCTATCAACAAGGAAAGTACGATGAAGCTCTCGATTATTATAAACGAGCATTGAAAATTCGAGAGAAATTTTATTCATCTGGTCATATCGATATTGGCTCTAGTTTGAATAATATTGGCATTTGTTATGAAAAACAGAAGAAGCAAAAAATGGCACTTGACTATTATCAGCATGCGTTAACTATTTATGAGAAGTTTCTTTCTATTGACCATCCATTTCGACAGAAAATCGAGAATAACATTCGTCGATTTACTGAAAAGAACTAAACTTATTAAATGACACAGTAGAGAATAAAAAAATTGTGTTTCAGCGTTCGAACGTTTCTTTGTAACTTTAAATATGGGGTGTGGGTGTGTATTTAGGTGTGGATAGACTGTGGCTGTACTAATGTGATTGAAGAGAAGACCTACACTCTCATCTGCATCCACCCACCCATATCCTTATTGGATTTTTTTTCTAATAATAATTGGAGTCTTTTTAGATGAAACTCAACATCTCTGTGAAGCAAATGTATATGCATTATTTTTCTTTATGAGTGCTATCTATCAATCGGTTTTGGAGATTGTAAAAGAACGACTGAGATTTAACCAAAAGAGTCTTTTATTTAATAAGCAGAAAAACATAAATATTTTTGTAAAAAGTTTATCTAATTAATTAAAATAATCTGTATTTCATTGTTTACGTTCGGCTCAACTTTATTGTGATATTATAAGTTCATTAATTACATATAAGAGGCTTAAAAGAAAGAGAAATAGATACATATTTTCGTGATACATTAGTTTGATTATTGAAAAAACAGAAGAGAGGGAAATCTAATAAAAGAGACAATAAAAATATAAGGTCATGGTTCTTATCTATACTACTTGTAAATTATGTTTGAAAAAAAAACGAAAGAATCTGTGATTGTTAAAATGCATTGTTTACTGAATAAATTTTATATATATTCGAACTGTTTTATAGGGAACAAAGCAACTAACATTTCTTGATGACCTATACAAAAAAATCAATAACTAAAAAATATTGAGTCGAGTACTATGAAAACAATAAAAAAACCACGAACTATTTTATTCTTTTAAAATCTAACCTCTTTGAATGAATTAAACATATCATTGAAATAACACTTTAACTGTGAATCATTAGAAATTTTGTTAAATTTGAACAAAAATAACTGTATGCCGATATGCTGCAGGAAAAAGTTCAACTGAGTTGTTACTTAGTCAAGAAATTTTTTCAATCAAGTTAAATTCGTTTTAATTCATTTGCATTTGTTTTTTTTTTGTTATGCAACTATTTCTTTCTTAATATTAAAATACATTCTAATACACAAGTACTCATAAAATTCATCTCCATAACGGGTCTATTTAAGCGGCATATTTTTCAGTCTGATACTTCGAAACATTTGTCTCAATGGTAGCGGACTTCATCTCATAAAACAACATTTTTACTCATAATACGAATGTGAATATTTTAAATTTTCATTAAGAAAACGTATTTTAAAAAAACTGCATTCTGGCATGTTTGTAAAAAAATACTACAAATCCCGTTAGAATGTATGAAAAATCAATGCGTCTAAAGCATAAACGAAAAAGTGTTCGAATGATAACTCATATGGTGTTTATTGAACATCAAAGACGTGTCTCTCATAAACGGGTTTAAACATTATTTTTAGGTGACGTTTTAAACTAGAAAGACTCACCACAGACAAAAATCATGCGATTTAACACATCACAATCAAAAACAATGAATTTAAACATAAAAATAGCATTTTTTTCAAGGAAATGCGGAAGATGTAGATTCATTTCTTAATAAATAGGAAAGCGATATAACAGAGAAAAAACACAGATAGTTACACTTCAGTCAATACCTTTTTTTTTATTTATGAAGTGCTTCATACATGCAGTTACTTTTTTTTATTATATATTGTTAAACTAGTTTTTCTCTTTTATCAATAACAAACGCTAGTATTAAATATTCTCGATTTATTTTTTTTTATCAGTTTTTGATAATATAATCTTCCATAACTTTCGTCATTTATTCATATAAAAGTGAAAAATCAAGAACATAAATGATTCTAAGAAAACTCGAGCATCAAATACATCAACTAAAAACTCTGCAGTTAAAATAATCTCAATAGACGAATTCAGTTAAACGTGTTGACTTGTTTAAAAAAAAGGAGAAATAACGAATCATTGTTGTACATAATAAAATCCGTTTGAAAAAATATGCGTAAAAATATGTTTTCTTGATTGATCGTTACGCATTAATACGTGTTTTACACTTGAACACAATAAAACTCGTAAAATTTGAGCTGAAAACGGGTAAAAAAAGTCAATCTAGAAAAATTTTACGCGTTTAAATATGGTCTTACCGGAAGGTAGTATTGTTTTTTTCGTCCATTCTCTGCGGTTGTTCTTCGAATAACATTAGATGTTGGTATATTTTTTTTACTCTCAGTATGTACTTCTTCTCCTCTGATAAAGATGATGATATGGCACTCAAATGGCGTGTGCAGAGAAACGAAAATAGCTGTTAAACTACAATCTGTGAATGACCAATTTTTACGGTAAATTTTCGCGTGAGTATTATTTAACAAAACTTTTCTATTTATCGAAGGTGTAAGCGGAAGTGGATCTGGGTGTTTGTGTCAACGTAATCGGAAATCCTTTTCCAGCAAAGTAAGTCTATGGATAGGGTGATTTTCACTAACAATTTGTTCAGTTCAGAAATCAAACGTTTACAAACATGTTAACCCTTTTGAATAAGTGTATATTCGTTTAGAAACTTTAACCAGTTATGAATGCGTAAAAATGTGCGTTTTTCACGATTTTATTTTTTGTTAAAATTTCGACGCGTTTTTTTTTGTTGTTTGTCCGACTGGACTTGTTTTTTCTCTGTACATTTTCATACGCAAACATTTCACCACGTGCAAGGCGAAAGTGAACCAGAAATTTGTAACCAATGACTTTCTATCTAACGTATTCGAAGATCTTTTGTATACTTTCTATAGTCTCAATTCTTGTCCTCACAATTGTCTAGTTATTTCTTTCCCAAACAATACTTTCGATTTTCGGGTCTATACTAAAAAATGATTTTGATATTGTTTCTCATAATTTGACTATGTCATTGGAAATAGAACCGAAATCAATTCTGTCTGATGATACAAATCTTGAGAACTACAAAACAAAATGTCTTAAATTCATGACATATCATTTGAATGGCTATTAACTTGTATAAAGCGAGTAACACTAATGACTTTTACTTACAATACATTAAAAAGTATAATATTGTATTGACATTGCTTGCGACGAGAGGAAAAAGCGAATCCTAAGAACCGTAGGATTTATCAAGATTTAGATGACAAAGATCTTTTACATTATTTAAATTAAGATAAATTTATCGTTATTAATCAAGAAATTAATTTCGAGTGTTTATTATAACATGTGTTTTATTTACATTTCTTTTTTATGCTTATTGATTGTCATTGTTTTTAAACAAGAATTTATACGAAACAAAAAAAAACATAATATAAAAATCTAGTTCATTTGAATCAGAAGAACAGTAAGACTCTGCCATTCTTGTGAGTATTGTTGTTATTGAAATTCTGAATATTGTTTTTTATTGTTTAGCAGAAACTCAACCTTAGCATGTTTAATAAAACATGTCTAGTATTAAAATTGACATCACCTAAATTTTTCTTCAGAAAATATAATGTGTATTTGACATAAGCCACTTGAATTGGTTATATCTCTAGTAGAGATGTGTTATTTTCTTTTTGGTAAGTGACGTTTCGGACACATGTAATGATCCTCTCATACATGAAAAACCATACCAATGATAATCAAAGAATCAAGAAAAATAGTCAATATTAAAGTGAAAAAAATATCATTGGAACGAACGTTATTGTCAAATTCGTTCAATGAAAAATATCGTCAGTTGAAAACTCAAATATACTTTACATGCGATCCTTTAACTATAAATAAATATCGATATTTGTATTGTTGTATAAGAAAGCATGCTATATAGGCATGGTACTCATTGAACCTTTTGAAAATTTAGAAAAAGAATAATATATAGTTACACTTCACTTCATTTAAAAAAAACGAAGAACGTTGTCATAATCTTAATCACATAAAATAATCAAAAAAAAAAAAAAAAAACAAAAAGTTATTCATATTTGTAATAAAAGTGCTACACCAGCAAGTACCCATTTTGATGGTTTTTCTTTTGTTTTCAAATTAAAATGCCAAATATATGTACTTCCTCTTGTTTTAATTCGATATACTGGACAATCATAAGTACCTTTAGTATCTAATCGATCGATAGGTATAGCTAAAAGAATTCTATTTAAAATAGATTCTCTTTTTTTTTTTGCAAAAATATTTTACCTTTAACAAATATAACTGGCATTGATGGACATAATTCTTTTAATTTCCCTTCTACTAATAAATTACTTTGTTTATCCCATCGTGCTCCATCAATAAATAAACTAAATTAAAAAAAAAAAGAAGATGAAAATTTATTCAACAAATTTCTTGATAATACTTATGAATATAAGCACCATCTTTCGGCGCATTTTGTAATTCTTCTTTTTGTTTTTTTGTTATTTCAACTATAAGACACATACGATCAAGTGGCCAATCTTGTTTTCGTGCAACAGCTTGCATAATTGAAGTAAGAAATGATTGTGGATTAAATAGACCACCTAACCATACAGAATTTGGTAATTGAAAATCTACTGTCCAATTTTCTATTTCTCGATATCGATTTAACATATCATAAAACCATAAACCTAATGAATAAAGTGATGGATATGCTCGATTAGACCATTGAATAGGTACAATATCAAGATAGAAACATTCTTGTAAAATTTCAATCTCAGATGATATAGCTAATTCACCCTATAGAATTATCAATATGAAATGGTTTTTTCCTTTCAAAATAAATAATAATAAAACAAACTTTAAGACCACCATCAAGTTCTTTAAGACTTTGTCGAATTTCACGTAATAAATTATTTATTCTTTCAGCTTCTTGTAAAGCAACAACAGCATATGGATTACGTTCATCAACACGTACACGTAATTCAACAATAGTAAAATCTTCAGGCATGTGATTTTGAAATTCTTCAAGTACATTTCGTATCTAATATATATTTATTTATTCAAAAACTTTCAATTAATATTTAATATTACTTTTTCATCACGTGATATTGTTCCATTTTGTCCATGAATATTTGTATTTGTATATTTTGGTGAAATTTCAATAA